GACTCTTAAGAGTCTTCTCCAGCACCACAGTTCAAAGGCATCAATTCTTCGGCGCTCAGCCTTCTTTATGGTCCAATGATAAATGAGATAACACACATCAAACGCTTCACATCACAATTCTTTTCAGTCCAGGATAAAAGATGCTCCAGATACAGCACGTACGTCTAACATGGATCAAATGGATGAACAGAACATTCCACCTCACCTCTTCCTCCTCCTCTGATCCACTTTCTTCACTGTCAGATCTTGGTGCTACTTCGTATCTATTTGAATAATTATGAAATCGTGAATTATTATACAGAAATACCTTTGACAAGCCAAGTCAGTTAGAGTCACTCCTCCCTTCTAAAGTCATTGGGAAACTGGGACAAAGATGAGGGAAGAACAAAGCTTTAGTTCCCAGGATATTCATGGACAAATTCAGCAAATTAAGAACTGTATTATAGGAACACTTTTTTAAACAGTGTTTTGCAAAAAAACAAAGAAAATGGATCATTCCTAAAAATTTCCCACCGGAGCCTCCTTGTATATAAGATATATTTCCCAACTTGCTTAAAACAAAATGGAGAGATGGCTCACTCTCAAACATTTGGGACCTCATTTAGGATAAATTCATTCTTCCACAGATAACAAAATATAAATTGGAAATTTCCAAACCAGTATAAGATCAATAGAATAGGAAAATGGAAATGGAAAAAAAAAACTTTCCTGTGATGAAATACCATCTTCCCAAAGTAAGATTTCATGAAAGTTAATGAAATCGTATCATAAGAGCTATAAGTTAGTCCAAGTTATATATATCTACCCCACCATCCTGTCCCCAACTCTCGACAGCAATTCAGTTCTAGGAAATGTGTACCACCATCACTGCCTGTGAGCAAACAGCAGTTGCAGGTTTCCTGCCTCTTTACATGGAAAATTTAAGAGCTCTTATTCAACTCTGAATTTGTCTAATCCTTTTTCAAAGTCTGAAGTCTAGCAGATTGAGGCACTAGCTTGCCTTGATAACCAGACTAGGCTGCTGAGACTCCAGACACAGAGTCCATTGTAACATCCAGGCTACAGTCTTCACAAACTCAAGGACACAACACCACTGCATTAGTATGATTATTTTTTTGAAAAAATGCACATATTACATGTCACTGTCCTCAGGGAAAATGTATGTGTGAATTCTGCAGGCAACGTACCCAGGATTCATTTCTAACCAGGTATCCAGCTGTCCAGCCTTTGGTGCATCTGTACCGGTAAGAATTTTCCCACTTTCAACATGAATCACTTTCACAGGGAGGTCACTCATTTGGCTGGTTTCATCTAAAGGCTGAAGAAATACAATGACATGTTAAACGTATTTTTCACATAAAGGTAGTATGATTTTAATGCAGTACAATTCTAATCTCATTTCATGTTAGACCTCAGGAGGGGGGGGGGAAGAGATTGGATTATATCACCATATGGCTAGAAGACAGACAGACAGAAGGAAACTTTATTTCAGTCATTGGCCAATAAAAATGCTTTCTATAAAACAAACAAATCAAAATGATCCCCTAACAGCAATAACTGTTTAGCAACCATTTGTGGGTGAAGCTTACACATAATGTAGTAGAATTTTGCTACTTTTAGAGAAATACATTTATCTTGGTTGTTTAACAGATAATGCAAATAAAAGTTATCAGAGTGTCCTGGAAATTTAAATAAAAAGGGGGTAATCAACTGGTGGCGAATATCACTGTAGAACTGACAATAAAGAAGAACATGGGCTGTAGTTTCTATGGTACCCGTGTCACAGGGGCAATATCATATAGGATTTTCATATACTTCCCTTCCAAAACAGTTGTGGGGAGAACATTAAATCAGGCTAGAGATAAGGCTCTCCTGAATTTGGGGACTGCAATATGATATACAGTGGACTACCAATGGAAGATAAATATCAAATTTACTGTGAATATTAACATTAGGAGAAAATAGGTACAGAACGTGTACCAGTGTTGATTGCCAAAATAGATAATTTATATTTTAAAAAACTGTTGCAAATATAATAATCAGGTTGGATAATGTTTTCTTGCTTGGTGGTAACATCACAAAATTCAACAATTCTGGAAGATGATTCATCGTAGGATGGTATTTTCAATATTGACTCTTCTTTCTTGCCAGCATAACTAAGCCCTATATTTCTACAAATTACAGCATGTGGAGTTGGCTTCATAACAGCTGCTAAAATACTTTATGCTTATTCCTGGAAATACATACAATTTCTTCCTTAGAAGAATGGCAGATTCTATGGGAGTATGCATCAATGTCAAATTATCTTTGTATTTAAAACACAAGTCTGATCCTGAATTTAAATCAACCTGGAAACCATTTGTTGATTATAACTCTGCACATGGACTTATATAACATCTGAAGAGTAATGTTTTCTTAACATAAGGCTTTAAAATATTAGATTTTTGCTAGTTCCATGGCAAATGTTTGCCTGATTCATTATAATACAGCCAGATTTTCTGAGATTAGAGAGAAACTTCTATTAATTGCTTATTCTGACTGATGATTTTTATAATATGGGCTGTCTTCCTTTCTTTATTAATTAAAAGTATTTCTATCCAGCTGCAATCCAAAAAAAAAAAAAGTATCTCATAGCTTTGTAATTACCAAATATTGATTGGATTTAATAATGATTTTAAATTGCTCAATTGATATTTTTATATGCAGTACTATTGTTATTTCAACAATTCTTATTTAGTTTCATACAGCTCTTTTATTCTTTTTTTCTTGGTTGTTTTCAAATATCTGTTAAAATAATTTTTAAAAGGATAAAATGTGTTTAGAAGAGGAAGCAGAGGGGAAAATGGCATCGCTTGAGTACAATTTGTAAAAGAAAGGAGGCACTTTTTGTTCTCTGAAGCTGCCCCCGCCCCCAGGGTTGTATTAGTAAATTTCAGGAGCAGAGTGAAAAGCTTAATGTACCTTTGTTGAGTGAAGACTCATCAAAACGATAAGCAGCCATTTTTAGAACTTCTCTTAAGTATTAAGATTATACATTACATTGTATATATGTGTTGTATAACGTTATACATTATACAACATTATCAGAGCAAAATAGGCCCATGGGAGTTCAGTGCAATCTATGACAAAAGGTGCTTCCAGATGGATGGTTCCTAATACTACTATATTAAAGGCGCAATGTGGCTCTTCCATCTTTCCTTCCATTTTTTTACTGTCTCAAGAAGGATGGACAAAGCAATGGGAGAGCAGCACAGGTTACAAACTAGACAACTGTGTTTGACCACAGTAAAATCCTATCTTTAATGCAGGACAAATACTTGCCCATACAGCTGAATAGACATCAAAACATTGCCCAACTAAATTGGTATATAGGGTATCCTGGGCATGCTATCTATTGTTTAAGAGCTGCTCATAGCTTCCACCAGCCTTCTCCAACCTACTGCCTTCCAGATGTGTCATTCCTGTGGTTCCAGTCAGGAATCCAGATTTAGGATTATACTGGTTCATTGGTTCATTGGTTAGCGTATGTTGACTGCATACAACATACAATCAAACATACAACATACAATCAAGCAGTCAACATACGCTAATCAACGAACTACCAGAAGAGCAAAACAGAACCCCCACCCCCACCAGCACTGGCAAAGCAGGCCACA